TCTCGGACGAGGGAGCTTGATCGAGATCGGTCGGGTCGGGGTCGTGGTCAAGGCCGGGAAGAGCAAAAAGCGGAAGGACGGTCGTTATCGGAGTTTGTTTTTGTTGTTGTTGTTGATCATGCCCAGCAGCAGATGTGTCTATGTCGTCGAAGCATCACCGCATACTAAGGTACATGGAAGTGGAAGTTTGTTGTTAGTGGTTGAGGCCTGGGGATCGGAGTGGCAGAGGATATAAACTGGGCGACAGTGGTTGCTTCCCCCGGTGGAGGTTATCTGGCTCTATCGGGACCGCTCCAGTCCAGTGTCACCATGGATGTCGAGCTGTCCTTTTCTCGTTTCCATGCGCAAGGCAGCCCGGGGCCCAGCCAAAAGTGGGGCCGCGATGCTGCCGTGTCAATCGCCGGGTGTGTCAGTCCACTGAACAACAGCGCATGTGCCCCCCAAGCTGCCCCTGGAAGTAGGTAGGTACACTAGAAGTGGAAGCAAGGGAATGCAGGTCCGACAACGCCTTTGGTTTGAGGAAGCTTTGCCGGCTGTCAGCCAATCACATCGGCACTTGGCAGCCAGCTGTGACCTATTTTCCATTCAAGAGGTACCTCTACCTCTACTTAGTGCTGCACTACCTAGGAACCCCCCCTGAATGGTCCAATTGGGCCCTGTAACCGCATCTCTGTAAACCGCCAATCCAGCATGGGTCAACAGAGCCTCTTGCACTTCAACGTCCCGTCGCGAAACAACAAACTCCACTAACAAAACATCATCACATTTCCATACTACATCATTCCAGTCGGACACCCACCCCCGGTCTGATGGAGTTCTTGGGCGACTCCCACGCTTACCATCACAGGTAGTTCGACAACAAAATCAAACAAACAATGTTCAGCTTCTGCCCTCTCCAGGGCGCCCTCTCCGACTCGTCAGCCTCCCAGTCGCTGCTGGAGCTCGACGGCGGCGTCAAGATCCTCATCGATGTCGGCTGGGACGAGACCTTTGACGTCGAAAAGCTCAAGGAGCTCGGCAAACAAGCACCGACTCTGTCCCTCATCCTCCTCACCCACGCCACCGTCCCCCATCTGGCCGCCTACGCCCACTGCTGCAAGCACTTCCCACCCTTCCAGCGCATTCCCGTCTATGCGACGCGCCCCGTCATTGATCTCGGCCGTACCCTGACGCAGGATCTCTATGCCTCGACACCCCTGGCTGCCACCACCATATCATCGGCCTCGCTCGCCGAAGTGTCGTATGCCTCGGGATACTCCCAGGCCGCCTCCGCCGAAAACACCTTCCTCCTCCAGCCACCCACTCCCGAGGAGATCACAAAGTACTTCTCTCTAATCCAGCCTTTAAAGTACTCTCAGCCACATCAACCGCTGCCGTCGCCCTTCTCCCCGCCTCTGAACGGACTCACCATTACCGCCTACAACTCGGGCCGCACCCTCGGAGGAACCATATGGCACATTCAGCATGGCTTGGAGTCGATTGTCTACGCCGTCGACTGGAACCAGGCCCGTGAGAACGTGTTTGCCGGCGCTGCTTGGTTAGGTGGAAACCATGGTGGTGCCGGAGGTACACAGGTGATTGAGCAGCTGCGCAAGCCAACCGCCCTAGTATGCAGCAGTCGTACTCCAGACGCCGCCCTACCGCGTGCCAAGCGTGATGAACAACTTATGGAGTCAATCAAGCTGTGTATTGCCAGAGGTGGTACCGTCCTTATCCCCGTCGACTCGAGCGCCAGAGTATTAGAGCTATCATACCTTCTCGAGCACGCCTGGAGAAAAGAGGTCGCCAAGGACAATGACGTCTTCAAATCCGCCAAGCTGTTCCTTGCCGGACGCACCATCAGCAGCACCATGAAGAATGCCAGGAGTATGCTGGAGTGGATGGACGACAGCATCATCAGAGAGTTTGAAGCCTTTGCGGATGAATCGAGGAGGAATAACAGGAGGGATGAGGGTAATCACCAGACAGGGCCAGGACCATTCGACTTCAAATACTTGAGGCTACTTGAGCGCAAGGCACAGATCGACAAGATCCTGCAACAGTCGGACGATGCCGAACCAAGAGCCAAGGTTATTCTCGCCAGCGACACGAGCCTGGACTGGGGTTTCTCCAAGGATATCCTCAAGTCCATTGCCGCTGATGCGCGCAACTTGGTCATTCTAACGGAAAAGCCCAACTTGGAGCCGAACCAAAAACCATCTATTTCGAGGACACTATGGGAGTGGTGGAAAGAGAGGAGGGACGGTGTGGCGACAGAACGCACAAGCAACGGTGACACATTCGAGCAGGTCTATGCCGGTAACCGCGAGTTGGAGATTGAAACCGCCGAACGAAAGGGGCTTGAAGGTGATGAGCTGAACGTGTATCAACAATGGCTGGCAACCCAACGGCAGCTACAAGCTACCCTACAGAGCGGTGGCACCAATCTATTAGAAGCACCGGGAGACGTCCTTGACGACGCTGATTCCGACACCGATAGCGAGTCAGAAGGCTCCGATACGGAGCAACAAGGAAAGGCTCTAAATATCGCAAACACAATGGCCCAAGCAAGTCGTAAGAAGGTAGTATTGAGGGACGAGGACCTTGGTGTCACCATCCTCATCAAGAAAGAAAACGTCTACGACTTCAATGTCCGCGGCACCAAGGGCAGAGACCGCATGTTCCCCGTCGCCATGCGTAGGAGACGTGCCGACGAATTTGGCGAACTCATCCGACCCGAAGACTACCTCCGCGCTGAGGAACGCGAAGACGCCGAGAACCAAGAAGCCGGCCAAGTAAACGCCAACAACCAAGAGCCCGAAGGCCTTGGCAAGAAGCGCAAGTGGGAAGACATCGGCACCGCCGGCAGAGGCAGAGGCGGCGCGGGGCCCAACAAACGTCCCCACCACCACGACCGCCGTCGCCTTTCCGCAGGCGAAGCCGACGCTGCTCCCTTTTCCGAGAACGGCCCAGCGGGCGATGACCTCTCCGATCTCGAAGACGAAGAGGACGAGACCCTCAACGGCCCCGCCAAGCTGGTAGTCACCAAGGAAACTATTCCCGTCCGTCTGCGGATTGCCTTTGTTGACTTCAGCGGCCTCCACGATAAGCGCAGCTTGACCATGCTCATCCCGCTCATCCAGCCGCGCAAGCTGGTCCTCGTCGCCGGCGGCAAAGACGAGACCTTGGCCCTGGCCTCGGACGTCAAGAAGTTGCTCACCGCCCAATCCACTGGTACCGAGTCCGCCATCGAGGTGCTCACCCCCGCAGTGGGCACAACCGTTGACGCCTCGGTCGACACCAACGCCTGGGTCCTGAAACTAGCCGACCCGCTCGTCAAGGGCCTCAAATGGCAGAACGTGCGCGGTCTGGGAATCGTCACTGTCACCGGTCTGCTACTCCCCGGAGGCAAATTCCAGCCGATCGAGGTGGGCGATGGCGATGGCGATGCAGCAAAGCGCCAGAAACTAGAAGACTCTTCGGAAACTCCAACAACTTCCACCGCCCTGGTAAAAGCCGGCACCAACACCTCCCCCACCACCGCCTCCCTCCCCACACTGGACCTCGTCCCGCCAACTCTGGCCTCCTCGTTACGTTCACAAGCCGCCCAACCTCTACACGTAGGCGAACTACGTCTCGCCGACTTGCGTCGGGCCATGCTAAGCGCAGGCCACAAGGCCGAGTTCAGGGGAGAAGGAACGCTGTTGATTGACGATGTGGTGGTTGTGCGCAAATCAACAGCTCAGGGAGGCAGGATCGAGTTGGAGAGCGTGGGGTTGCCGAGTGATACCATGCCGGGCACGACGAGTGGTGGATTGTTGGATGCGGCCATGAAAGTGGGTGGCACGTTCTATGCGGTTAAGAAGAAGATTTATGAGGGCTTGGCTGTTGTTGCTGGGGCTTGAGGGGTGGTGAGAGATATGGGAAGGTATCGTGATGGGAAGCACGTGTGGGAAGCAGGTATGGGAATGCCGGCGTGAATTGGGATTTTGGTTGGGTTGTAATTGATTGTGTATACGAATGTGAGTTCATCACGATGGATAAAATGGCCTCGCTGGTAAGGGGGCCCTAACTGGTGTTTTTTCTATTCTTTTGTCATGCAGTGTCGCTGAAAGCGGCATGAGACAACTCTGCTCTTGCTGGGTCAGTGACAGCGAGAACGTGGCTGACTACCATAGGACCACACACCAATTCAAGACTTGAGTCACTGCACTGCACTCTTCATCATCACTGAATATTTCCCCCCTTGCTAGATAGACAGAGGTACGTAGGCCTTTGTTGACGAGACTGAGACTTTTTTTATTCAATGAGTGATTGCCAGGCACGAGGAATCAAAGGCTCAATCGGAGACATGTGTAGGCCTACAGCATTCCACTGATAACCACCACGAGGAACATCAACAAAACAACAACCAGGGTCAACACTTCACCGGTGCGTAATGGTCTCGGTATCACACCCAGTTATATTTGATTGGACTTGAATCCGATATTCAGGGCAAGGTTCCATTTGGAGTCGCTTGCAGCATCTGCTCCTCCCCTCCATTTCTCGGAAGTAATAGGTACACTGCATGGCACCATCTCGGCTTCCATTTACGCCGGCTTCAATTGTAGGAAGAGCTCTGGGGGTTGTCTGGTCTTCCAAGGCCCTGGAAGTTCATTCATTGGTGGTGAAGTCGAACTGAGACAGGAGCAACTCAAATATATCATCAACCTGAGATGACGTAATCCCTCTCTTTCCTCCAAGATTCTAGATCTCAGCTTCACTTTTTCTTTTGACTTTGCCTCTCACTGCACTTACTTACGTCTCTGACAGCCGCAGTGCATCGTCATGTCTCACAACCTTCGTTTTGGATTCTCTTGTTGTTGGTACAGCTGGCCTGTTAACCAAGTAACCGGCTTGTACATATCCCCAGCGGTCACCGTGCCTCTCGTTCGTTTCGTTCTCGGCCAACTTGTATGACAGTCATTGCTTTCTACCACCCATTCTCCTATGCAGAGGGACAAAAGACAACTTTGTTGAGGATGAAACTTTTGATTCCAGTATTTCGATTCGTCCTCGTCGCCAGTCTTCTTGGACGTATTTTGTGTGTTCCGTTAGCTGGAAACGATAGTAAGTCGCCCAACTCTACAAGGAAACCAAAGACAGGGTAGCGATTGGCTGACTAGGAAACCTAGGATTAGGAGATCGTCCCTACGATGTTGATCAACAAGTTCGTCACGTTCGTACCCGCTATCAACCTTCGCGGCTGGTGGATATTCCTCTCCACGTGGACGACACCGCACCAAAGGCTATAGCAGATTTCGAGAATGATGGAAGGAAATCTACGCCAGAACTCCAAACACCATCCACCGGTACAGGGCAGAGTATTGAGGCTGAGGGTGTGATATTGGCGGCAAGAGGAGATGCCTCCACCGACCAAGCCGACACCGCAGTGACAGGAACAGACATCGAGGTTGAAGAGGTGGCCATCTACACGGACGAGAACGCACAAACGGTCAGCACAGAGACCAACACCATCCCCATAGTCTCACCAGCAACGCCCTCTTCCTCATCAACCTCATCATCGGCATCCTCGTCTTCATCTTCATCCCCGGCAGTCATCACAACCCTCAAACCAAAAACCAAACGCACCAACCGCTCCTCCTACCTTTCATTCAACAAGGCAAACCAAAAACTCATCAAACCCATCAAGCACACCAAGCTCACAAACACGCCTCCATCAACCAACGACGACACACCAACAATCCTCCCCGACACCACCACCACCACCACCACCACCACCACCTTCACCCACCCCGGCTTCCTCCCCCAACGTCTCCCCGGCATAACCTACGCCCCCTACGACCTAACAGGCTGCCGCTCCCCCGCCAACATCACCTCCGACTTCGCCATAATCGCCCAAACGCGTCTCTACTCCTCCGTCCGCATCTACGGCGTCGACTGCTCCCAAGTCCTGCACACCCTCCGCGCCGCCTCCTCCGTCTCCTCTCCCCCTTTAAAACTCTTCCTCGGCATCTTTTCTCTATCCGACCTCTCCTCGCAACTCACCACCTTGATCAAAGACGTGCAGACCTTCGCCGTCACTGAAAAAATATCTGTGGACGACGTCTGGACCAACATGATTGACACCATCTCCGTCGGCAACGAGCTCGTCAACAACGGCCAAGCCACCCCCGCGCAAGTGTTGGCGGCTGTGCGTACAGTAAGGAAGGTATTGCGAAGGGAGGGATACCGTGGTCCTGTAGTCACTGTCGATACTTTCGTTGCTGTTTTACAACATCCTGAACTGTGTAGTAGTTCCGAGGTGGATTACTGCGCGGTGAATGTCCATCCGTTTTTTGATGCGCATACGGAGGCGGAGCGGGCGGGGGAGTTTGTCAGGAGGCAGGTGATGAATTTGAGGGAGGTTATCAATCCCAAGACCCAGGCCCAGGCCCAGGCCCAGGGGAATGACCTGTCTCAGGGGACTGACCCAAATCAAGGGAAAGGGGATAAGGGAGGGGAACGACGGAAAAAAAGGGTGGTGGTTACCGAAACGGGATGGCCCAAGCAGGGAAATGCAAATTACCGGGCGGTTCCCGGACGATGGGAACAAAAGACGGCGGTGGAGGGCGTGATGAAGGCTTGGAGAGAGGGAAGCCAGAGGGGGTTTGTTGGAGACGATGGAGATTTTGAGCTGTACTTGTTTACGGCGTTTGATGATGAGTGGAAGAAGGCGGATAAGGGCACGTTTTATGCGGAGCAGTTTTGGGGGATACATGATCGTTGATTTCTTCCTTTTCTTTTCTTCATTTTTTATGTTCTTGTTGGCTATGTATATCCTCTTGTTGGCTATGTTGGGCGTTATGTGGGGGGCTACCTATCGTTCTACAGTTTTTGTTTCTCGGTTTTTCTTGGTGAGGTCGATGGTCTGGGTCCTCTTCTACTTTCTACGTCTACTTATTTATTTATATATCATTTTGTTGGGTGGATTTCTTGGACGGTTTACGAGTTACGAATATTTGGCTTGGGATCAATCATGGGTATCTAGGTATTAGAGAGGGGGAGGACATTGGACTCATCAGGTGTAGATGAGAGAGATATGTGATAGGCAAGACTGAAGGTACTTAGGATAATGGTTACCAGGCAGGCTTCATAGGGGGGAATGATAACAAGCAGAATAATACTTCTTCCACCCAAGATCTTATATATACCGCAATTTAACAGTTTCACTCGACGCCGAGGCTATGTAGTGGTAGTGTATCCAATACCATTCACATCATCACATTACGTATTAACTATCTATCTTGGTCTATCGTAGCATCCATCCATCCTTCTACCCTCCGCCATTGCTTCCCGGCCTTTTCTTCCAGCCCATCATCCAATTCATATTCATGTCATTTCACACCATTCATTTTACTTTTTTGTCCCCCCATTCCATTTCATAAAGCCTACAAGCCCATATCCCGTCTTCTAACCTCCATAACCCCCTTTCGCTGTCTTTATGGATTATCTCAACGTGGCTGCTGTGGGAAATAATCCATAAAGTGTTTTTACAGCAACATAGTGTGGAACTAGACAAACAAAGAAAGAAAGGGAACAAGTAAGTGCAGGAAGAAGTCTACCAGCTCTTCAACTAAGCAGTAGGAACACCCAACTTGTTATTCCCCTTCTTGGTCATGACCTTGGTGATGGCGTGACGAATCGCAATGCCGGCCTTCTCCGTCTCCTTCTTAGACAGGCCAGAAGTGACGCAGACCTTGAGGGCCGGGGTGGCGGTGTAGACGTTGTCCTTGAGGCCCATGTGGGTGGTGATGGGACCGCCCTTGAGGCGAGTGACGAGGATGTTGTTTGCGAGGCACTGTCGTTTTGTTAGTATTATCATATGGGGAAAAGAAGGAAAACAAAAAACATACCTCATCAGCAACCTCCTGCAGCAAACGCTCCTGATCCTCCGCCGTCAGCCTCCTCGCTTCCACCACCTGCGGCTTCAGCACCAACAGCAAAATCGGATTCTCGGGCGCGCTGGTGCAAATCACCCAATCACTCTTGGGATCCAACTGCGCCCTCATCAACCGGATATTCTCCCTGCACACGCCCAACGTCGCGTCGGGGTTCTCCTGAATGACGTGCAAGCTCTCGCTGGCGATGATGGCCAACATAGCCGGCAACGCGGCCGAAAACGTATAACTCGCGGCCGTCAAGCGCTGATGCTCCACCACGTCCTTGGGTCCCGCACAGAACCCGCCGCCGGCACAGAGGGGACCAGCGAGCGAGCCAACAATCATGTCCACCTGGGTAGGGTCGACGTTCTGCGCCTCGGTCAGGCCGCGGCCGGTCCGGCCCAGGACGCCAAACGACCACGTCTCGTCCAGCATGATGCGGAACTTGTACTTCTCCTTGAGCTCGATCAGGCGGGGCAGGTCGTTCATCTCGCCCGTGGTCTCGAACAGGGCCTCGGTCACGAGAAAGCGGCGCGTCAGCTTCTTGGTGCGGGCCTGCTCGGCCACCACCTTGGCCATGACGCGCTCGAGGTCGTCCAGGTCGTTGTGCGCGTACCACCGAATGTTGGAGCGCGAGATCTCGAGGCCGCGCCGGATCGAGTAGTTGACGGCCCGGTCGGCCACAATGATGTCGCCACGCTTGCAAAAGGCCGGGATCACGGACGAGATGGTGGAGAAGGCTTGCGCGTACACGATGCAGCCTTCGGTACCAATGTAGTTGGCAATGTCGGCCTCGGCGCGCATGTGCACGTCCTGGGTGCCGTAGAACTGGGGCGGGCCGCAGGGGCCGACGCCGTAGGTGCGAAGGGTCTGGATGGCTTTTTCTTTGATTTGCTCGTTGGCGTTGAGGTTGTAGAAGTTGTACGAGGCGAGGTTGGTGACGGTGCGGCCATTGGCGAGCTTGGATTTGGGGCCGGTTGCGCTGTGTTTGCGACTTTGTGTAAGCACATTGGGTCTTCTCCTTCTTCTGGTTTGTGAGCATCGATAGGAGAAAATCTTACCCAACAATGATTGGCAACTTCTCGGACTCCATCTCCTCGAGGACGGTCATGTTCGGCACGAGAGGCTCGGGGGTCCATTCGTCAACGAGCTCATCGATTTCCTGTTTGTCCCAGCATCAGCACTTGGTCCTCCCTCTCTTTAACGCCTTATCCCCCGTGTGGAACTCACATCGTCAGTCAACTTGATAAAGTTCTGCTTCGAAGTCGAGTAGGCCGGCGCCATAAGGTATCTGATGAAGAAGATGACCAGGACCAGCTCGATAGCCGAGCGCACCGGATCGTTCTGGTACGATGACCTGACATAGCGGATCAGGACTGCGGACCCCGGCACCTTTTGGAAGGCCGTGATGGCTTCGTTGAGCCATTCGGTCAGGTGGGTTTGGAGTTCTTGGAGCTCCATCTTGTCTCGTTCTTTCGTCTGGTAGCCTCAAGTTGGTGGCTCGTTGGATGCGACGCGATGCGATCAAAGGATGGCGCTCGAGGTGTGCGATGCGGCTGGCGGACTGGGTGGGAATCGGATGATGCGCGTGCCGGCTGCGTCCCTCTAGTAATCGTCGACCGAGAACGAGAGAGGTACCGCTGGGGAACCTCGATGATCTCTCGTCTCCGTCGTACGTAGTATGTGGAGAAAGGTTCACGGGAGAGGAAGCAGAAACGACCAAGCTGTCTGTCTCTATCTTGCCCACAAGTAATCGGAGAAGTTGGGCGGTCAAGAAATCCACGTGTCGGACCCTTCGGAGTGTTCCAGTAGCTGCTGTGTAGAGGCACCACCATCATACACAGGCCCATTCAGCACCAAAGGTCCCTAAGCCTGGACGCTCCAAGAGCCAATCACCCTTGCTTACCTTTGGATTTTTCAGGTGCTGCAGAAGCTCAGGGGTAACTGTCCAGTTGACCAATCAATACGGTTTAAACATCGGATCTCGGCTCAAACCGCCCCCACCACCGAGTCTGCCTCGAATCGATTGTTCACAACAACACCACCAGCCCACAATAACATACGTCCCCACGTTAAACAATGTATAAGGTCACGAGCTAGGAAGTGCAAGTGTGTAGTGCAACAGGAAAGGGTTTCGCTCTAATACTAGTAGTACTAAGTGTAGAATCTCCGCCAGACTAGATATAACATGAGTAAAAAAGGTACTAGAAAAGAACACAACCCAGTGTGCGTGCAGAATGAAAGTGTGTCAAGAAGACAAAGACAAGTCTAGAAAAGCCGTGTGTATCATCATGCCTTTGAACCGCAGCCGCCACCCACCGTCGCCGAACCCAATCCCCGTTTCTTCGCTACTGTCACGCTCATCCATATGTAAAGATTTTGCCCCATTGCAGTCCAGGTGTAGCTACTCAAGGAGCAAGATGAGGGAACAGAGGGAAGAAACAAACATAGATATGTCAACACCGAATACACTAGACCTCTTTCTCACACACACACACCATTCGACCGAGTTTTACACCACAATTCATGATTTCCGTTGCTACTAACCACGCAAAACCCAAAAACAAAAATAAATATCGAAACAAAAAAAACACCAGAGAACTGGTACTAGAGTGTCAAACCAATTAACCCTATGCTACCATACCAGTTCTCCCCTTTTTTTGCTTCTTCATCTTAAAATGCCATCCTCCTTTCAGCCTTGCTAGTAGCCTTGGCGACATAGTCCGATGTTGTCGTCGGGGTCCAGACACCAGAGTAGTTAGTAGCCTTGGTTCCCGTCTCCAGGCGACCTCTGGTGTCGTCATTGTCACCAGAAGGTCCCAGCTTCCAGGGGTACTGCCTGAGGATCAAGCTTCCACCGCCAAAACTGTTGACCACGTCGAGCGTGTCAGTAGGAAGCTGTTTGCCGGCCACAATCGGTCCAACAATCAGGGCGACAAAGATGACAAGCAGGACAAAGTAGAGGATCGCATAGCGGATCACACGTCTCCTCCTGAGCTTCGTCTGCTTCAACGAGTAAATGGGGGCACGAATTTGACGGCTACAAAGATATTGCGTTAGCAAGAGAGTCAAAACAAAGCGCAGAACAGGTTGGAATGACATACCTTGGACGGAGCCAGAAGAGAATGACCGAGTGGAGCACATCGACCTTGGGGATGATAAGGACGGGGAACATGGAGAACAGAATCAGGTGGCCAAGGATAAAGTCGGCGCCAAACATGCTGAGCTCCGTGATCTTGGCAAGCCACTCACGAGCAGGTTGCGAAACCGAGTGCCAGCCCATAGAGTACCACTTGCCCGTCCAGAAGGCAATGTTGGAGGTATCAGTCTTGAACTCACGAGTCAAGGCCAACGAGACAATCATCTTGATGATGAAGCGCTGAATCGAGACCATGGCGATCATGCCGAGGAGCGTAGGGGTAAACTCAAAGTTCTGCAGGACGAACATGACTTCGAACATAACCAAAAGGATAATGACCGACATACCATGGGCAATGGCGGCCAGAACACTACCAAACTTCTTGCAGCACATGCTCAACAGAGGACCCATGCAGCAGGCCATGCCGAACAAGCCACCAAGGACACCGGCGTTGACAGCCATGGGCGCAAACGTGACAACCAAGAGACGGATCAAGGCGGCGGTAGGCTGGATGCTATCGTCGTTGGCATGGGGTCCAAAATCGCCCTTGACACCAGTCTGCGCGTTGATGAACAGGTACGGAATGGTCGTCAAGCAGACAAGGATGAAGGGGGTAAGCATCTCGGACCAGAACAGGTTGGTGATGGCAGCCCTGGCAACATCGCCCGAAAGCTTGCTCGACGGGTCTCCGATAATCTTGCGCTTGAA